CTCTTTTTGGTGTTGCTATGGAACAGGTATTCATATGTTTTTTTTATTAAATAATTCAAATTTTAATATAGCATTTCACAACTCAAACATACATAAATTTTTTCCGGTCATCGTTTAGGTATTGAATCATTCTCAAAGCTGGGGGACTCTATTTATTTTGAACAAGATGGGAAGAATCCAACTCTTTATATTATCCAATACATATCAAGCTCTTTTAATTGGAAATCAGGGGATCTCATGCTTAATCAGACAGTGGTTCCTACCACTTCGAGAGATCCTTATCTTCGAGTCACATTTACACTTTCTCCTACAAAGGTACCTATTGCATTTGCATTGTGTTATACATGCCACACCAATTATTATTAATTATGATGCTTCAAAGCATCATTTATAAATATGATAAGGGCAGGCATCCCATTTTCCTACTTAATTTGGAGTATGATTTCTAACAACAGTTTGCTACTATCACATTTCAGCCCTGTAAATTTAGTCAATAACAAGAAATGCTAATATTAGCCACTCAATATTTCAAATGATACTTGCTTTTGCATGAATCAATTATCAATCCATTAGAAATTTGAGCTTCAATTAATTTTCCCCCATGATAAAAGACATAGAACATTTCAAACAACGGTACATAAGGATTTATATTGAACATTACATGGAAAGATAAGTTACATATATGATGCCAAAAAATCTCTCAACTTATTATTTAAATTTTGGTTAATCGCTAAGCCAATTAGCTAAATTACAATGGATGGGGTATGCATTGAAATATTCACTTTTGTAGGGATCAAGTTCTTCTTCAACACTGAACTTCCGGATACCAACATGGGCACGTTTGGATGGTGCTAAAGCAATGCTAAATTCTGAGACCCTATCTATGTCATCACCTGGTATGTACTTAACTCTTAAGCTAAATTCTCTACGAGAAAAAGCACAGCTTTAAGGATGCCTGTTTCGTCTTAATTTTTTATCCCTATAAAATTAAGTGTGTATGTTTCAATAAATTATTCATTTTGTTTTGTGAACATGAAGGAAACTTTCTTTCGGTCACGAGAAAGTGGAGTGCCAATGACAAGCTAACTCTGCAATTTCCCATTACTCTTAGAACTGAACCTATAAAAGGTACAAATTCATGAATGTTAATCACTACCATTTCAGGTCAGAAAAATATTGCTCTTATTTCTGATGCTGTGTTTTGAATTAAATATAGATGACAGGTTAAAATATGCTTCTGTCCAAGCAATTCTTTATGGTCCATATCTTCTTGCTGGCCACACCACTAGTGATTGGAACATTACAATTAGGTCAAATGCATCTATTGATGATTGGATTACTCCAATCCCTACTAATTACAACAGTCAACTGGCAACTTTTTCTCAAGATCTTTCTGGCTCAACTTTTGTTCTCACAAACTCAAATCAATCTCTTAAGATGACAAAACTACCTAAACCTGGAACGGCATTGACTACTCATGCAACCTTTAGAATTGTCCCAAGTGGGTCGCCCTCAAAAGGCTCTGCAACAGTTGGAGATATTATTGGTAAAGCAGTGATGTTGGAACCATTTGATCTCCCTGGAATGTACTTGAAGCACCAAGCAACAGAAAATAGTCAAGTTATTGTGGGTCATTCTTCCAATAATGGTGGGGCCTCAAGTGTTTTCAATGTAGTAAAAGGACTGGATGGACAAAGAGGAACTATATCCCTGGAATCAAAAACCAGGAAGGGTTGCTTTGTGTCTAGTACTGGATCTGGTGCAAGTGTGAAGCTTAAATGCAAGTCTAAGTCTAAACCTCATACTAATAGTTTCAAAAGAGCTGCTAGCTTTATAGCAAGAAAGGGACTAAGCCAGTATAATCCTATCAGTTTTGTAGCCAAAGGGGCAAAGAGGAATTATGTTTTGGAGCCATTGTACTGGTTTAGAGATGAAACTTATACAGTTTACTTCAACATTCATACCTCCTCCAATTGATTGCAGGAGGAAATGGCACTGTCATCTCTAGATAACAATCCCATGGGGTAGTTTCTATCTTCAAATGATGTAATAAAGAAGGAGATGAAGAAGAAGAGTGTGTAGTGGATAATGTAAGTGTTAAGTCCTTCCTTTTTCTATGAAGAAGAAGAGTGTGTAGTGGATAATGTTAAGTGTTAAGTCCTTCCTTTTTCTTCTGAAAATAAATTGAATCTCCTGAATCTACATATAATTTAATTAGAGGTGGCCCAGGAAAAAAAATGAATTTGTTGCATCAAAACCATTCAAATCTTCAATTTCTATTTTAGCCCCAAAAAAATGTTAAATTTCTATTTTCAACCCATTCAATCCTTACTGCTAAAGTTGATTTAAGGTAAATATTACTTAATATTTTCAATCTCTTTATTCTCCCTTGGAGGAGATTTTCTCCTTTTTTCCCCCATACTCAGGTTATAATGTTTCGTACGTACAATTAAAACCAGAGATAGGAAATCATTCACCTTTATTGGCGAGTGCAGTCCAACAACAAAATCATTCATAGATCATTCAATACCCTTCAATGAGAAAATCCGGTAATAGAACCAAAATTATTTGAGCAAATACATATCGAATTTAATTGAAAAAAATTATTCAAGATGTTACAAGTACTTATCAGAATCAGTGAAATCAGTGAATCTTGAAGAGGTACCAACAATTACAATCTGAAATCAAAACAAACTTACATAGATTATCAGAAGGTATGCTGTGTCATGGTCCAGTAGGCGCCTCACCTCAATAGAGGCCCCTTTTTTACTTAACCATGTATTGTTGCAACGTATTATATATGTTACGCCTCATGTCCTTAATATAACATCTATTTAACTAATTTGATTAGATTAAAAAAGTTAGGTAAGTTAGTTAGTTATAAGAAATATGATATATTTTTTCTAAAATACCATAATTATCTTTTTTTTAATATCATTCCTCCCTCACTTGCTTGATTATCGTTGAAGGGCATGTACCGTCTTGAGGTTGATATTTGGGCCCAAGTGTGAGATTGATACTTGGGCCAACCCAAAAATTGACCGAAGAACGGTAGGCCCATGGCAAAGAAGAAAATTCAGTTTAATAAACAAAGATAATGATATGTATTATTTTAAAGGGGAAAAAAAAAGTGACGCGAAACAAAGAGGTGAGAGAGAAGGGGGCAGATTGATGCGTTAGCTGCGTTTTCCCAACATCCATTACACGCGCAATCTTCAGTATTTAATAAAAGAGTTAGCTTAATATTTAGTTTAATATTAAAAATAACATCTCAATTCATTTTATCTCTTATAATTATGTATTTTTTTCAAAATAGTCTTTGTAGTAGTTGCACATTTTTAAAGTTTCATTAAATGATAATTTTATATAATGCACATAATTAACAAAGATATTCTAGAAAGAATAATACATATTTATTGCAAAACTAACTTTAAAAACTTTGTTAATTTACTCTAATTAGTCAAGTAATTCTTATATTGACCTGATTAGTATGCCAAATAATTATGTGTTGATCAAAATTAGTGCCACATGGATGAGTTATGGAGAGCTAGGTTGCTTGAGGTATGGCCACATTAAGTAATAGTATAAATTTGTAAGAGTAAGTTGCATCGAATCAAATTATATATAAATCAGAATTTGAAAAGCTAAATGATTAATTTTAAAAAATATATAATGAAAGTTGCAGTATCACAATTAAACACATCCATAACACAATTGCACGGCAAATATTTGGGAACCATATTCCTTGGTTATAAAAGATAAATGCATAGATTAAGAGAGAAAATCACATTTAAATTATAACAAGATATGTTATAATTAATTTGTCTTTTGGCTATAATTAAGTATTCTTACAGTTACCTTGCTGGTAGAAAAAAATCTTACAATCGCAACAAAAATTAGTCTCAAATTCAAATCCAAAGTAACTTAAAATATTCTGAATTAAAAGAAAAAATCCTTTCAAAATCAATATTAATGAATTCCTATAGATATAGATATTTAATGTTTGTTGGGATAAATAAGTCCAATATATTTTCTTATAGATTAGGTAAATAACACTTGACATAAAGGCCAGTCACTCATTGTATGCACTACCATTAATTTTTAATACAAGAGCTGATTAGAAAGTTAAATTTATTCTTAAATATAAAACCCCAATCCATTTTTTCTTTGTATTTATCTTTTTTCTTCAAACTAATTTACTTAATTTATAAATTGATATATAATCTAATACTATACAATATAACGTTAGAGAGATCAATTCACATTTATTGTATTTAACTAATATATCTCACTTCTTTGATTTATCTAAATTAGTTAAGTAATTCTTTCATGCATCAAGGACTAAAAAAACTGCTGTAATTTTTATCAGCAAGTTAACTACTTACACGCATCTACGACTGGACTCAGCTGCAATGACCCGTCTAACTTGAACAAACATGGCCTCAAGCCCTCAACCCAGTTTAGCAGAAGAATTTGATTCGCATGGGGAACATACTCAATTGTCCAAGGGGAAGAATGGCAAAAACTTAAAAAAACTACATATGCCTCTGCAAACTAAAAACTATCATTCCACAACTAACAGATTGTTTTTGGTTAATCCCTCACCAACAGTGGGAAACTCCGGCGAAAGCTGCCATTCACCATCCACCAAGAATTTGATCTCATACCTGCACAAGACTCTTAAGGCTCAAAAGAAGATTCACTGTTACAAGATCAGGTTCAGAACTTCATTTAGTTGAGAAAACCGTACCTTCCTGGTCTAAGCATCAACGTTGAAGAGAACTTGGTATAAGAACCATCATACTCTGGTGATAGGTATTCTCCTTGGCTCCAGCCATCAAAGCTGCCCATTACTTGCACGCTCTTGAAAGCAAAAATACAACAGAATAAATAGATGACTCACGTATTAACCAGACACAAACTAAAAACCAAACATTATGTAAAAGCTTAGTAATGCGATATTTCACTATCATATTACAGATTATAGTGGCGGTCATACGAAGCCAATGTGCAATCCTATATATCAAATCAGCTGATTCATATGATACGGCTGCAAAAGCAACCCTGTTCAGATTGACATGCTCAGATATAGCAGTGTTTGTCAGAAAATCATCAATATAAACTATCCATTGTTTTCACCATTCAGATCAAAGTTTTCATAGAATAATTGAAGAACTATCTTCGCATATTTACCTCAGCCATGCCAACCCAAAATACAGGAACCTCTTTGGATTGAACTGAAACTACATCCTTTATCTGTTCCTTTAATTTCTCATGCATAGCTTTGGAGGCCAAATGATTGCATATGCATCCACAGAGAAACAGAAGAGGCAACAATTTATCAGAACTGGACAGAACCGCACCCCCTAGTGTGGGAAATTCAAAGCTGGGAAATGCACGTATTCTATAAAATGAATACATAATGGTTACACCATATGAAGTAACAATCTTGAGGTTCTACTTCACTAAAATATTGATTGATTTGTGTAAGTGTTATCCCATTTATTTCTATGAATATATAATTTTCCTTAAATTTATTCATCAGCAGTATATAAATGGACCACTTCATATGGAGTACGCAGAAGAACTGCAACACCATTCTACCTCCTAAACGAGAAACAATGTGAGATTGAATATATTTTCCATTGATCTTCCTTGAACCTTCTGGAATAGCAGACTGAGCTATTTCTTCAGCAAGTTTGACCAAAGCCTGCACCCAAAATAAATATTGTCATAGATGTGCAAATAAAGCTGAGGACAATTTTAAACATCATACAGGCAAAGGTGTGTAGCATCTTCTCAAATTCACAAAGGTGCTTGGCATAAGAAATCGTAAATTAAAGTGACTAGGAGGTTAAACAACGCTTAGTTTATAAGATGCAATATCTCATTATCATAATATTAACATTGATAGGTTTCATCAACAAAATCTCAATCAAATTAAGATTAATTACTCAAACCATTATATAACTACTCATAGCAGTTTCAATCATCAATTTGATCATATAGATTGAAACAACGTAACAAGCAAAGTTAAGCATTGTTGATGTACAACTTCAGCGCAGATGTAGAAGGGAAACACGAGCCAGAGTTCATTATGACGGCGGAATTTGTGTGCCAATCTCAAGTTAAAACAGTTCACACAAAGCAAGATTAGTCTTATGCCATCAATAAAACAGGAGTATAAGAGAGCAGAATTGTCAGTTCAGACTACCAAAGAGTGCAGGCTAAGATAGTGGCAGGAGTGGAAGTTTATGGAGAGTGACATGCATGCTACCAAAAAAGCTTCATAAAGTCCTTCCACAGAATTTCATGACTCAAGCTCCAAGCAATGAAATGAAAAAGAGGTTAATGGATAGTTACATGCATGCCACCAGAAAAGCTTCATAAAGTCCTTCCATAGAATTTTATGACTCAAGCTCAAAGCAATTAAATGAAAGACATCATGATAAAGAATCATGCAAAATGAGATCCTCCGCTGATCCTAATTTCTTTTTGCCTAATTCACAAGGATTAAGAAACAAATTTAAGTTAATTGTTTGCCATTAACGTGTGAACAATTTGTGATAGTTTCCTGAAATACCCCTCCTGTTTTATTCACTCTATTTAATCATTTCCTTTGCAGTGAGCAAATAGCGTATTAAAACACTAAGGAAAAAAATAATTAATGTGATAGACAGAAGTGAATGGAGTTTTACATTAAGCACCAAACCAAAGCCTTCAACAGGCTCCTACCTTCACGACTAGAGAGAGTAGTAAAAATCATTGACTGCTAGGCATAATATTAGTCAACATATATCTTTTAAATAGAATGCTAGGCAACATGAAAAAGCCACGGAAAGTAAAGAAGTTGCAATCGATTTTAACCTGAACCTCAAGCTCCATAACAGCAAGCTCACTTTTAAAGTTAACCAATGATTCCTCCTTTATTTGCAACTGTAGAGAACAGAAATCAACACAGGATGGTGATTTAGATGTTTCTTGCCATAAATATATAAAAGTAAAAACGAAGCCCATAATTCATAATCACGCACAACAGGCTCACTCATTAGATTGTCATTCTAAAATTTGAATCGTGGAGCATGGGGATCGCACCTAGTTAACCTTTTGCCAAAATCTTCCTGTTCGTTAATTTAAGACTTCTGAATTCGCTCATCAATATTTTATTCCCTACACGCATTTTTTTATATTTTTATAATTTAAAAGAAAGAATCCCCGCCAGAAATGGTTGCAGCATGAAATCAGGAACCAATATTAGTTTAGTTCAGAAAGGACCACCACCTCCCAATAACAAAATAAAAGTTAAGAAAATACCAAGTATTAGAACACAGTCTAGTAAAACACAAACGAGATAGACATATATATGGCATTAGATATTAAAAGTGGATAACTGAATCTTCAAAGCATTTCATTTGGTATGCATGCTCCAACTTTAACCCAGTGGATGTGTCAGCCACTAATGACTGGTAAGTAACAAAACGTGATTGCAAGAATTTCCATTATCTGTATGGACTATCACAGTTAGCCAACTACAGATAATTAACAAGATCAGAGACCCAGCAATAACTTACCAAATTCATAATTTCTTTCATTTTGACGTAATATACAAATCCAATTCCACTTGTATCCTGTTTTTCTATAAATGCATTTTATTTCACCAATAATAGTACAGCCACAAATCAGAATCTTGTTTTAGTGTAATCATATTTAATCAAGGGCAGATGCAACATCCAAATTAGTTGTGTTGATGTTCCTTTTGATTCTAACATAGATATCTGATGTGATGTCCAAACCGATTGCAGTGCATGGGACTTGAGTTCCACATCAAGGAGTATTGGTTCTAATGCGGACTTCACATTTGACCTCCAGCTCTAAACCTCATGAGCTCGATTTTGAGTTGTGATTCTTCCAAAACATTGAGAAGAATCAACCATGAAAGATATCTATATGGTTTGTGAACAAAACTCAAACCCAATATATTCAATATTTTAGAAGATTGAAATGAAACTCAGACTCTTAAATAGTAGTCAATTCCCGAACTTTTTATCATATGGAAAACCCAGATTTCAAATTAAGAACAGTCCAAAATATTTAATCTATGCACAGACCTGTCTTTTGAGGAACCGATTATGTTGGTTGGCTTCACTAAGCTTCTTTGTAAGCCTTGCTCTTTCAGTATCAGCAAGGAGTGCTGCTATCTTTTTGGGAAGAAAACGATCAAAGTAGAGGAAATTAAACCCAACAGAAGCATAAATCAGGTATATTGTGCAAGAAACAGCTAAACTTAAGTAAGCACAAGTTTGCGCGGGAACTCAACCCTGTAACATGAGTTAAAGGTCCTTATAGTCTCTCCTTGCAGCAGCCAGTAATAATAAACAGAAAAGATGAAGACAAAATATAATCATTCTCATTTCATAGTCGGTTATGATCAAGACAAGGATTTTTTTTTTTTTTTCCAAGCTTTGCACCTCACACCCAACATTTCAACTGATTTCATTTATTTTATAAACTGAGGACCTAACAAATGGCTAATGCAATAGAGCCAAGTAAAGATTACTTATGGATATTACATCTCAAGTTATGCACTCCATCTCCTAGATTAGCGTAGCCTTTCTGCTTCAACTTTTAGTATTTACAGAATCCCAGTGAGTAGGAGCATATTACAGGTGCATCACCTTTCATGCATAAGACTACAAACTATAGGCCATTCTTTTATCATATATAAACACCACAAGCCCTAAAAAGAAAGATGATTAAAAGAATCAGAAGAAATAGCAAAGACAGGAATTGATTTTTTTTTTTTCCCCCGTTCATGATGGAATGGCAAGAGGCTATCATCTAAAATTCCGAGCGGCTGAAAGTGATTTTAAACATTTTGAGATATTATAGTTCCTGATCTTAAAATAATTAAGGAAGATACTAGGAATTCCGCACTTCCCAAAGGTAGACTGGCAAGTAGCAGCCATGGGCTTTCATTAGACATCCATGTAGCGGAATTGGAAATTACCTGTTCACTTCTCAGTGGTTGTTCCAAAATCTTCTCCTTCAAGTCTTCAGTCTCATCTTCATCAGAATCGCCTTCGGACGGCAATGATGTAGACTCATCCAAACTAGTTGACATAGAATGTGCTCTACGGAGAAATGGCCTATTTGGATATACTGCATTAAAGATTCGGTAGGAAGCGGCCAAGCCTCGATAACACAGCCTTGAGCTCTGGGCAGTTATATTGCAAGAAATTCTATGAGTGCTTTCCCGTCCTGATGTTCTTGAAATTCTTGAAAATAATATTGCCTGTGGCTGGGGGTCTGGACAACACCTACTAAAATAAAGAAGATCATAATTTTTATAATTACTAGTTACTAAAATACTAAGCTAGAGTTTAAAATACAACGATACTGCAGAACGAAGGATATGTGAGCAATAGCACTAAAGACAACTCAATAATATCAATACAAAGAATTCAAACTTTCCTTTCTGAGGGTCAGAGTGGGTGGGCGGGAGGAGAGAGGGGGCAGAAAGGGCGGGGAAGAACAATGGTGATGTTTTGACAGATGGTCAGTCTAAGATTGACTGCAAATATGCTTACCTGGCTGTACTTATCTCCATCATGAAGAGCTATTTTACGACAAGCTGAAAAGAACACAAAGGGAAAGATCAGCAATTAGTAGCAGTCTAGTAATTGAGACGCCATGCTGCAAGGATGATACAATCAAGACAGGATAGAAATAAATTATGAGCAAAAAAATTTTGCAAACACGTTTTCCTCGCAATGAAAAGCCATTGCTGCGAATGAGAAGCACAAAAGCAGTCCAATGTAGCAACGACAGTACAGCATGTCACACAGTCTGCGGTATGCTTTCATCAAATATTTTCTCCAAACCAAATGAAAGGACAAATTGCCTCAAATCCAAATCTCCCCAGGCACAGGCATTCACTCAGAAACAAGCCCGTGCAGAACTGCAGATGAGCTGGGATCATACAAGAATTAATCGTTTTCCAGCACGTTACCGACAGAATTTCTGTCAATATCCGTTTAAATTTTAAAAACTGCATCACTTAGTCCCTGTTTTGAGGAATGCTAGAAAACTACATAAACAAAAGTGCATTTCTTAACTGCCAATAAGGTTTGATGAGATAACAACCCATAGATTTTCTCCCCTTTCGGCTGGAACGAGAATTAAAGAACCCAAAGGAATCACTGTAATGAGAACCAAAATGAGCACCGAACAGAAATCAATGCTAACTTTAAATTTATGTCTAGACACAAAATTAATCCGGCTCCTGGAAAACTTAGAGTATTATTATCCATTATGCAAGGACGAAAATGCTGTCACACCAAAAAAAAAAAATTATGAAAGCGTACCTATTCTAGCACAGTGGACGAACCTTCATAGAAGCAGATAGCAAACTGAGGCCACTGTGACAATCGAATGCAACAAATGGAATAGGGTTAGCTAAGGAACTTACGGAGTTTGAGGAGGTTGAGAATTATCACTCTGGCGCTGTGTATTTCAGTCGCTTCCGTCACTCCATGCTCCGCTGGTTTCGAGTTCTGAAGCTAAACAGAAACTCGAAAACTTCGTGGTTGAGACTTGAGAACGGGGGATGGTGACACGTACTGGTGCTATCACGCCACGTGGCGTGGGCCCTTGATGATTACCCCGTGGGAACTGAAATGAGTGGGCCACGACCGCGAGGTGGCTTGGCTTTTTGTCAAAAAAAACCCGAGTAATTAATTAGAACTATTAAATAAAATATTTTTCGAAAAATAAATTATTTATTTTTTGGGATCAGTACTTAGATATTTCGAAATTATTAATGAAAGGGAGTCTAACACCTAAATCTTTCTTTTCTTTTTGCTTTTGTATGCCTCAAGTGTTTTATTTCTTAACATTTATAATCTAAACAGTTATTATCCGCTGTTAAGTTTAATCGTTAAAGATCAGTTTGGTAGGAGGAAAATTGAAGAGAGGAGAGGGGAGAAAAAATTTTAATGAACTCTGTTTGAAAAATTGAAAAAGTGGGGTTTTCTAACTTTTTCTAATTAATTTGTCATATTCTTTTCTCTTATACTACTTCCGGGCTTTAATATAAGATATTATTTGACTTTTATTTTGGTATACATTTTTCTCAAAGTAGTCCCTCTAATAATGGTAGTCTAACCAATAAACTTGATTAATAAGGATGTTTTAGGAAAAACAACACATATTTATTACAAATAACTAACTTAGCTTATTTTCTTAATCTCTTCAAATTAGTCAACTGACTCTTATAATTAAGATCGGAGGTAATATTTTCTAAAATTTTTAATTAATTTTTCACATTCTTTTATCTTATATTTTCTTTTCGTCAGAATTTTATAACTCCACCTCTTTAATTTTCAAAACGAGTTCATTAAAAAAAAATTTTCCTTCCCTTTCTTTCCATTTCTCTCATACCAAATAGACCTTAAAGATATTGGTCAAATATCGTAATTTTACAATTAAACTTATCGAAGAATAATGACTAGGGTATTTTATTATGAAAATAAACTTTTAGAGCTTATAAGAGCTCAAAAATTTTTGAGTTTTAGGTACTCTTTGTGGATACTTTCAAAATATGTAAGTACTATATTCCTTTTTTTTCATTCAAAAAAATAAATTATTTGATGTTCTCTGTTGGAAAAAAAATTTAATGTTCTCCTCTGTTTTTCACTCGGATGTAGATAGATCTTGATGTTGTATTATGGATAAGGATTGTTCTAATTTTTGCATTCATAAGAGTGAGATTAATTTTATGTTTCATGCCTTAATTAAGCCGTCCATCCTTTTAGATCTTGTGAGTTGCGACTGTTATGATGAAACAAATACCAATATATCTACGAAAATTCCGAAAATATTCTAATTAATAATATTTGCAGCTGACCTCAAATTTCTATAAACTAATAGGGTTGTGGTTTTGATTTAAAAAATGTCAAAGAATTTATATTAAAACCTTTAGGAATCACAATCTGCCCATGAGACAGATATGTGACTTCCTAGAATCTCTCGAGTTCTAATTTCTTCTTCCAGGTTTTTGCTACACATAAGTATCATTTTGTTTCAGACAATCCTATTTAAAATATTTTCAGGTACTAAATGTGAATGATTTTTTTAATAGTAATTCAAACTTTAATTTGATATATTTTGAGGCACTAGTCTTTTCTGTTATAGTCAACTTTAGTTGATTTTTCCTGCAAGTTGGATGAGTGTGGAGGCAGTCTTTTAGTTATGAAATGGGCTCTGGTGGAAAACGGTTCTGAGATGGGCCCCATTTGTTATTTGCAGGCCCCTTAAGTTACCTTTATATCAAGGAAGGCCCAATACTTCTTTTTTCTGCCTTTCTTTCTTATATAATACTACCTTCGATCCTTAATATAAAATCTTGTTTGATTTTAATTTTAGTCATAAATATAAGACTCCAATCCACTTTGGTTATCATATTTATATTTTTTTTTCAAATTAGTTCTTCTAACAATAGTAATTCTAACTAATACACTTGATTAGTAAGGATATTTTTAGAAAGACAATATCTATTTATTACAAATAACTAACTTAACTTCTTTCAGACCGGACCCGAGGTAGTATTCTTTAAGGAAAGCGCGTAACATCGTTTGGTGACAAGGCCACTGATTCTATATATAATGTTTATATCTATATATCTATGTATAATATAAAATTTGTAGAAAGTTATAATAATACTCATAAATATAATTATCCATGTGACTCGTCTCAAATTTTATGAAAATAAGGACCCAGCATCAAGTGAAAGTAAAATCTTGGATGGAGAATTCTTAGTTGTTATGATGGCACGTGGAAAAGCAATGAGGCTCAGAGATTATGGTCCCTTCGGCTCTCTCTTTATTTCCTGATTGTGACCAGAAACATAAGAAAAGGCTTTATTACATGACATGGAGCAGAGCTTTGTTATATTTATTTTTCAAACAGATAAAAGCACATCCAGCATCCCAATTTTTTTTTTTTCACAAATATATTCAAGATCTCTGATTTTGTATGATACATTTAACATTTTGATCTTATTTTTTTGGCGCATTCAGTACCTCAATGTTTTTTTTTTCCATGTCTAACATACTAGATTAGGACGTTGAATGTATTAAAAATAATATTACAATGCTGAATAAAACATAAAAAGGAATCTTAAAAAATTTGAGATATTGAATACACCTTTGTCCTTTTTCAATCCCAGTCGAGTTCACGTTCACATTTTTTTTCCTGCACGAAGTGGCTTTTGTATGCTTCAAAATGTGACATTAATTGTTAATTAATTATTTATAACCAAGCCAACAAACCTTAATTTTAATAAATAAGCGTTATTATAATTAGGGCCTCTTTATACTACTGTATAATATGTGAAAGAATCTCTTCGAAATTATCATCTACAGAAAGCATGTTCTTTTAGAAGCGGCGGCTATGGAAGATCCCAAGATGGTTATGACATTGTGTTTTATTGTTATTTCCTAATCTTTTATAACTAAACACATTTTTTGTGCATTAAGTTTGAAAAATAAATTTACTCCTGCGGTTCTTAGTATAAAATATAATTAAAGAGTTAATATTGATTACTTATTATAAAAATAATTACTGCCAAGAAAATTATAAATATTAATGAATGTATTGATTATCATCTATCAAGCGACAAATAAGAGTATAACTCACAATTTCCTGTTAAAACTAAGAGTTAAGGAAGAGGTGTTTGGTTTCAATTAAGCCAAGCAACTCTGACATTTTTTTAATTATTATTCTTATTTAAACAAAAGTACATTTTAAAAATTAGTAATTTTTAAAAGTTTTATCTCGGGTATGTCTTAATATTTAATGTATTTTTTTTAATTTTGTTCTTGATTATTTATTCTCTCTCATTTATTATACTCTATCACCATATTTCTCCATATATCCTCTTCCATCCTTTTTCTCATTTATCATGAGAGTATATTTAGAAACAAAAGTATTTTTTATCTAGTTATTGTTCATAACTAATTTTAACTTATTTTTTAATGTACATAAATTAGCTATTGAGTAAAATATATTAACCTCCCCTCTATTTAACATAGAGACCTCCTTTTATTTTAGAAACCTATGTTGCACAAATCTCACTTCTAGTTTTGAGATTTAATTTCATCCACCTATCTATTAGTTTACTATTAAATCATAGTGTTGACCTATTATCTTAACCGAAATAACACAAATATGACTTAATAATTATCATTTAATCACATGTGATATATTTTTATTTGAAATTTAAAAATAATTTTAATACATATTTTAATTTTTTGTTATATTATTAAATCAATTACCATATTATAAATTATTAATTTTATAAATAAAAAATTTTATTTTACACTAAATTTAAAGGTTGAATCTCATTTATTTATTAAAACTTACTTGTGATGTAATCTTTTAAATATATGTGTTAGCTAAAAATTTTGTAATTATATGTATGTATTTTCAATTAAATTATAAATTTACATCTTATTTTAGTAAAAATTAAAGAGATCATTAATAAATATTAATGTTAAAAGATAAACTAGAGATTTAATATAATGAGGGTAAATAGTAAGCATGATTTATTCTAATATAATTTTTAATTAAATTTTTTTTAATATTAAAATATATGTTTTTAAAATAGAAAAAATAATAAAAGAAGGGAGTACAAAAATTCTTAATTAACGAAAGGCCTACCGCTAGCGTGAACATGTGACAATTGCTTTCTATTCCGACTTTGCTAATTGCCAGCAATGTGCGGCCCTCCTCCTTAGACCCACATCACCGTCAGCCGTCACTGATCCATTAGGAAAATTAAATTTGTCTCCATCCACTTACCTGGAAAAAAAAAAATCCATCTATTCATGCCGTCAAACCAGACTATTATTTGTGGTCAAGAAATTATTTAATTATCCATCTATTTAATTATTTGTGCGTAACCATCTTATTCTTATCACTATTTTCTTCTGTCTCTATGAATATCTATTATACATGGGGCTCGTTATGGTTTATTCTTCTGTTTTTCCCCCCTATGACTGGCTATATCTATACATAATTACATATATAAAATTTATAACAATCTACTTATTAATAAGCCATAAATCATATGGCATGCTTTCTAAACTCTATTATCAAGTTGTTCTTATAAATAAAAAAATATTTCATTCTATTGTAAATATAAAAGTTAAAGATTTTATTTTGGTTATAAATTTAAGACTTTAATATATAAACAGTAGTTTTAAATATAAATAATTAAAAATGAAATTTCTAAAAAAAATAAACACCCATTTTGCATAAATAAAATAATTTATTTATTTTATATAAATTAGTTATCTGAATAAAATGCTAATTAAAAATAAAAAAAGTAAGAATATTTCATTCTATTATAAATATAAAGGTTAAAGAATTTATTTTGGTTATAAATTTAAGATTTTAATATATAAAAAGTAGTTTTAAATATAAATAATTAAAAATTAAATTTCTCAAAAAATAAATATCCATTTTTTATAAATAAAATCATTTATTTATTTTATATAAATTATTTATCTGA